GTATCGACAAATAATGCATTTCGCGCGGGAGATATCGCGGGGAGGGATGGAGGGGCGATATTCGCGTGCGATAATATTCGCGGTGACGTTATGCGCGCTGTCCAGGGATCGGCATGAAATATTTATCAGAAGCCGCTTCGCGCGCCGGGATGATGGCGGTGCTGGCAGCGGCGGGTTGAAATTCAATTGAAAATAGGAAGTCGGGGATTCGCGGGGGACACTCGTGTGCCGGCCAAGCCTGTTTTCCTAAATACCGGGCAATGTTTGTCGAGCAAACACATCTGGACGATCGGCGCGCCATACGATCCGTATCTGATCAATATTTTATGCTAAAACAACCGGAGAACTTGATCACATGGCGTAGGCCGCCACCACCACCGCCGACGCCACCGCCGCCATCGCTGCTCATCGTCCGGTTAATGTATTTACTAGGACGGGGTACACTACACGCAAAAAAAATTTCAGTTGGTGCAACCAAATAGGAATAAACTGAAAATTAGGTGGTCAGAAGCGATATCTCTGTTATGAAAACTAATATTCTGTTGTCGCAACCGAAAATATTCGTCTGAACATTCAACGATATTAGAACTCGGTTGAGGCAATTAAGAACAATTGACTTATACAGAAGTTTCATAAAGGAATTTTTTTGTTCCTACAGCCGAGTTTTCGTCTGATCCCTGAGCAACCAAAAATTCGGTTGCATCAACAGAATTGTTTTTCCCGTGTATATTCAACCGGTCCCGCGGTCCTCGTTTAAAAATCCAGAATTATCATCGCGATTTTTTGCAATATAAATTACGTCGACGCGAACCCTCGATCGCCGCGATTTTACATTCATCCGCCGCGCCTCCGAGGAAAAAACTGCCCCCGGAATAAAATTTCATTGCTCTCTGGGATAACAGCAGGGCCAAAACCACCCTGTCGACAATGCGAATGGAGGGCAGGGGAGAGGGAGGACGGAAAAAAATTCTACTTTTGCTGCTGTGCAAATCGCATTTCTCGCGTTTCATATATTCACTGCACGCGAAGTGTTCGGTGAAATGTATTTTATCGAGGTGAATGACTGCAGTCATTAAGAGAATAAAGTTTTTTCAACGGTAGCGAAAATGTATTAATCACGCACGCGCGCACGTGCGAGAAATATATTTTTCCCCCGGGAAATTCTGACACCTGCGTGCAAGCGATGGTTTTATTTCTCGTATCTTAATTCGCATTTGCTAAAAGAAAAGAAGAAAAATTCTCTTAGTTGTAAAATGCTACATCCGGAAAAAAGTGATCTTATCCTTAATGGAATTCTCCGAATCCCAGAGGAGTTTGCTCGAATATATATGACTTCAAGAGGATTCCCCTAAAATCAAGGGGGGTTCTAAGAACATTTTTAAGAGGATGCTGAAGTTGAAAACTTTACCGACGGTATACTGACATTTTTCTACAAACTTTACGTCGCATTGGTCGTACAGAGTTACAAATCCTTTTAATGTAATGAAACTACGTGCAGAAATAAATGGGAGTATTGCTCAATATGTGACGAAAATGAAAAACAAATTTTGAAGGTAAAATTTCAAGCTATCAATTAATGTAAAATTTTCCTAATTGGCAAAATTTGCTTAATTGCCTAAATGCCAAAAATTCTGCAGCTTGTTACGTACCGAAAGTGTGGATGCTCCAAAGAGAAAATTTTGGAAAAACATATATGTAAACATATATGTAAACTGAGACTCAGAGGATTTCGCCAAGGATGAGATTATATTTTCTCCCGCAATTATCGCGCAGTTATCGCGCGCAATGTTGGTCAGGCTTTCGCGTAAGGGCGATATTCGAACGTCATGAAAATCCCGGACAAGTCGCGCGAACGATTGGCGCGGCGATTGTTCGTTCGGTAAAAAAGAAAAAAAGAGAGAGAGAGAGAGAGAGAGAGAGAGAGAGAGAGAGAGAGAGAGGACCGGGACGCGATCGCAACGGGCGTTTTCCAGCGTCGAGCTATAGCAGTGCGTTTAGGACCCAGGCCGGGTCGTATCGGTGCGGGCGAAAATAAGCGCGATCGAGGTACCTAATGGATACGTCACGCTGACCGCAGATAACACGGTTGGACCGGCCGCTTGTGAATAGCTGAGCGAGTACAGCGGTGATTTTCGAACGGCGGCCGGAAGCGCGCCTTTTGATGCCCGTTATAAACGTTAAATCGGTTAGACGAGGCCGGAGGCTTTTACGCCGGGCTCAAATCGCGTTTTAACGCTGCCGCGTGAGCGCGTGAAGCAACGCCGCGGAATGTTCAATTAAAATACGCAACAAATCGACATGTCGATCACGCGGTACGTGAATAATACGTCGTCGTCGCGCGTGCGCGCTTTTATTTGCAATTTCCCTTTCGCGCGATTTACTTTTCGTAATATCGCGTTATATACCGCCGGCGGGAAAAAGGAGATTGGTAAGTGTCGATAGTTTATGAAGCTGCTGCAACTTATAGCTTTCTCTCTCTCTCTGTTTCTTTCTCTTTCTCTCGCTCTGGCGACGCGCGAACGAGCGCGAGGTGCAACGTGTCGCGCGTGTCGACGTTTCTCGCGCGGTGCGTTTTATTTCGACAGAATCTGTAAGCCGGCAATCACCGTCGACGTGTATTTGCAGTCGGTTTAATGCGACGATACCGTCGCGTCTATCGGCATATTCAGGCCGCAACGCTCGGAAAATCGATGGCGTCGCGTCGAGCTCCTCTTTGTCACTCAAAAGACATCCGCGATTAATTCAAGATTTCGCAATGCAGTGTGATCATTCAAATCTGTGCTGATAGCCGGCATCTGAAAGCTGTCCCCAGTGAGACACTCGGATTTAATTTTGGAATTAGATGCGAATTTTAGAGGTCGAACTATATCAGACACAATCATTACAAATACAACGTCACGTGCATCATCGTATGATGCAACCAATTACTTTTCTCTTTGGATGTATTAACTTTTCTTTGTAATTGCTGTTAAACACATGTGATAATTTCTGTATTAAGTTTTTGAAAGGAATTTCTTTTTCTTCCCGTTTATTCACAATATCAATAATAGTAAATTTTTATTTAAAATCAGACAGGAATCACCAGAAATTTTCAGTTAAACTATAATACGACATGACATTATGTCGCGATTGAACTATTGGACTGGAAAACTAACGATTGGAAAAACTAACTCTCTGAATTCAAATTTTGCTGTTAAACGCATGTGATAATTTCTGTATTAAGTTTTTGAAAGGAATTTTTTTCTTCCCGTTTATTCACAATATCAATAATAATAAATTTTTATTTAAAATCAAATCACCTGACATTTTCAGTTCAATTATATGACATTATGTCGCGATTCCACGGAAAAACTAACTTTTTAAATTCAAATTTGAATATCACACTTGATGCAAATTTCAAGTAAGATGATTATTAATACGAGGATAGGTGTGAAGCTCAAACAATGGTTTTTCCACCAGTGATATTTGACTCTTGGAATTCTCGAATTCGTCGCGCTCACTCGTTCGAGAGAAAAGGGGAAAAAGAAGAAAAGAGAGATACGCTGCCACGCCCGAATATATTCGGTCGAATGTACAATTCTGCCTTTTCGCAGCCTTTACCGATGGATGTTATTTAAATGTCGAGCAATGAGATCTAGAAAGCTCACTTCGAATATAAAAGCGCGCGATTCCCGCTCGCCGAATTTGCCTTGCAACAGCCGCGTCTTTATTTCCCGTGTTTTCAAACTCGACGGTATATCCTGCAGCGCTATCGTTTTCCCCCGTTCGCGAAGTGGCCGGCGCTGAAATCTCCCGCCGAGATTAAATGACTTCTAGTTGTATAGAATCTTAATGTCGGAAGGCGCTACTCTCTCCTTCTCTCTCTCTTTCTCCCTCTTTCTTTCTCTACTTCTCATTCTCTTCGCCGGGGATACAGCGCGCTTCCTACGAAACGGTTTCAAGTAGGATTTAATGTTTCGTGAAACACGGAGTACAGATTAAAATGCCTTAGTACGGATTTACCTCCGCTGTATTAAGCGCGATTTTAGAAATATTTGTACTCGCTCGAATAAGTCCGGATTAAGAGACAAGGAACGGAGCGTGGTCTTATCGGCGTCTCCTTCTTCTTAGATATTCTCCCGTCCTCTCACTCGCCGGGAATTAAGTTAATTAAAGAGAAAGAGGTAGAATTTCTTTGTTCTATGTATAAAAAACTTTGAATACAGATTCCCGAGATGGAATTTCGATTTAAGACTCCAGGTGTCTCGCCGCGGAACTCTCGATGACTCTTGATGGCTTGTCGAAAGCACGCTGGAAATTCTTGCGGAATACGCTGAAATAAAGAGACATCCATAAAATGACCCTTGGGGTCGACCGAATACATTTACAAAATGTTCTGCAAACTTTCCTGTTGTTTTAGCAATCAATAAATTATCGTAAGATCGACGTGACATGCAACTTTTCTCCTCAGCCTACCTTCCCTCACGATTTTGTCACGTTTTACGGCAACTTATTGATCGTTAGAGTGAAAGAAAATATTCGAATATTTTGTAAACGTGCTCAGTCGGTCACAGATGTCATTTCATCGACATAACCTTTTATTTCAAGATAAAAATTCTGCAAGAATTTTAGGCGCGCGTTTCCCTCTTAACGTCATCTAACGTCATTAGTCGATATGACCGCTGCGATAGCACAGGAGCCAAAAAACGAGTCACTTCGAACACGGTGAACGCGAAATGCTTGGTCCGCCACAAAACGAATTCGAATATATAGTTGAATTTTCCAACTTAGCTCCGACTAATGGAAACGAACTAAGGTTTCATTGTCGCTTTGCATGATTCTTCCGGTAGAACTAAACAATCACTCGATCATTTCGCGCACTCGACTGAAAACTACAAGGCATCGACGCGCGTCTCGATTGTACGACGTTCGAACGGCACGCGCAGCGTCGCGGTCGATATGTCGCGTGAAGTTAGTCGCTAACGCATGCGCGAGACGTGGCGAGTCACGGGTAACTTCGTGACGCTCCACAGTGGCAGTCCAGCAGCGCGAGACGTTGGGTCAGTTTTTTGTCGCTCGATTTTGTCGTTTCGATCTCGAGGAAAATCGCGACTCTAAATGTAAAACGGGTCGAAGCCAATCCTGTAGGATTCATTCGTTGCCATCGTTCGCCAAAGGTGAATATCCAAGCGCCTTCGGGATCTCCTAATTATTTCGTGCTAGCATTTCGACACGGTGAGATGTCAAACTGACATTTCATCATATTATCTATTTCTGCTTTGACCTTCGAGTGACGAGACTCTTCTTTTTGAATGAAATGCATGCTACTACTTCTGTGAACTCGTGAATTTTTCTACATTTTGTCGTGAAACTGTCACTCCGGCGAACCTAACCTATACGCTCTCAAGCAAACTAGCTTGCTCGATCTTTGCGGTATTCCGACAGCGATAATCGCAGTTTTTGCAATAAGTTTGTACAGAGAAAATGCTGCATATCATCGCTCGTGTTTGTTTAAGCGAATTTGAGGACACCAGCAGAGCACCTCTAACCTCTTCTCTTGTTTGCTTTGCAGACTGAGACAAGATGTCAACGTCGGCGATATACATTTTGGACGTGAAGGGCAAGGTGTTGATCTCACGCAATTACCGTGGCGACATCGAGACTGGTGTCATAGAAAAATTCATGCCATTGGTGATGGAGCGCGAAGAAGAGGGCAATCTTACGCCCATCATACAGACTCCAGAATGCACATACGCATACATAAAGTATAACAACCTGTATATTGTGTCCACCACAAAGAAGAATGCCAACATATCCTTGGTATTTGTATTCCTGCACAAAGTAGTGCATGTAATGCAGGAATATTTCAAAGAGTTGGAGGAAGAGAGTATAAGAGACAACTTTGTCGTCATCTACGAACTCCTGGATGAGTTGCTGGACTTTGGTTATCCTCAGACCACTGACAGCAAGATTCTGCAAGAGTACATCACCCAGGAAGGCCACAAACTAGAAATTCAACCTAGAATTCCAATGGCTGTGACCAACGCTGTCTCATGGCGGTCAGAAGGCATCAAATATCGCAAGAACGAGGTCTTCCTCGACGTGATAGAGTCGGTAAACCTGTTGGCGAATGCCAACGGCAACGTCTTGAGCTCTGAGATTGTAGGTGCCATAAAGATGAGGGTCTACCTGTCGGGAATGCCGGAACTCAGGTTGGGCCTCAATGACAAGGTCTTGTTCGAGTCGACTGGACGCGGCAAGTCCAAATCTGTAGAGCTGGAAGACGTCAAGTTCCACCAGTGTGTGAGGCTGTCGCGCTTCGAGAACGACCGCACGATCTCGTTTATCCCACCAGACGGCGAGTTCGAGCTGATGTCGTATCGGCTCAATACGCACGTCAAGCCCCTGATCTGGATCGAGTCGGTGATCGAGCGGCACGCTCACAGCCGCGTCGAGTACATGATAAAGGCGAGGTCGCAATTCAAGCGACGCTCCACCGCCAACAACGTGGAGATCGTGATACCGGTGCCGAACGACGCCGACTCGCCCAAATTCAAGACCACGATCGGCAGCGTCAAATATTCACCGGAGCAGAGCGCCATCACTTGGATCATCAAGTCTTTCCCGGGAGGCAAAGAGTACCTGATGCGAGCGCACTTTGGTCTACCGTCGGTCGTGGGCGAGGATGTCGAGGGTAAGCCGCCCATACAAGTGAAGTTTGAAATTCCATACTTCACCACCTCGGGCATTCAGGTGCGCTACCTCAAAATCATTGAGAAGAGTGGCTACCAGGCGCTACCTTGGGTGCGCTACATCACTCAGAACGGTGACTATCAGCTGCGGACGAATTAGCTACTCGACACCGATGCGGTTAACGATCATCACTCCGGCATCTTCGTTGCACTCGAATGCGAGGACTAGTTGGTGCACATAATGTGTGCGTGTTCCCGAGGTATTTAGGGCCGGCAATTGCGCAACGCATTGTCCTTTCTTCTCGCGGTTTACCGCGACGCGATGGACCGTAAGAAGACGCGGAGACGTGACGTAGAGGCACGACCGGCTCTTGGTTAACTAAGGTAACAGTCCCAATTATGGGTCGAGTTCCAATTTCGGGTTAAACTTGGCTTAGTAATGCATTAAGCAAATACACATTATAATGAAGACACAGAAACCACTTTTTTGTATTCCTAGTTCTTTTAACAATTACGTTCTAAGATCACATTCACAGACATTTTTAATATTTGAGAAAAGAAATTTAGGATGTTAGTTGATTCTGTTATCGATTCTAACATTTATGAAACTGCTAGTAGGTTGTGTTATATATACCGATATTCTATATAGAGACTGAAACAATGTAAATATATGCACATTGTCGATGTAAATTCGGATATTATTATAGAATATATTGACTCATAATTGGGAACGTAGTATATTGACTCATAATTGGGAACGTAGTATATTGACTCATAATTGGGACTTGCACATAAAAAAATACTTTTAATTATTTTCTCATGATTTAGAATAAACTACTTTAGAGTCTAATAATTTGGTTTTAAAACTACGATATTAGCTGCTTATATTAGTATCAACAGTTCATTTTAATGTTCGATCGACAAATTTATATAAACGACTGTAGGTCACTCTAACCTTGAGTGACTCATAATTAGAACCGTTACCTTACTCTTTCCTTTTTGTCTCGATTGGTTTTTTTAAAAGATTCATTAAGTGATCCGTGGTTTTAACATTGCTGTAGGACGGGTCAAAGTGTCGCGAATGAGAGATTCTTGGCGAACATAATATCATCGATTCGAGGCGTGCGCGCGTGAGAGTACTTAATTCAAATCATATTCAAATTCGATATCGAACTTTCTACACATGCGTATATCTCCCAAATTTTTAAACATAGTAATGCGACAACTGCTGATAAAAAAAAGGAAAAATCCTCGTCCAGCTTATAACAAGATCATATGAATACTTTTGGAGTCATTTGATAGCATATATCTTTGGCAAGGCGACGGACGAGCTTACGGACGAGAATGTTTGATATATATATATATATATATATATATATATATATATATATATATATATATATATATATATATCGTGTATGTAAGTATAGACACTAAATAGTATTATATCGATAAGGATTATTATTATTGTGTATATCAGCATTATGATTATCGATTGCATTAATAGTACTGTACATCGCTACGATATTAATGTAAGAGATGATGGAGATATGTGAAGTTTTTAATAGAAATCGTATGGAGAGACTCCTTGAGTCAATCGATCGATTCCCACCACGTCCATTAGTTTCCACTCTAACTGTAATAATATCGGTTTTCCGTCCTCTCGTAAGAACGTTCCTATTCCTCGGGAAATTTAGGATTGCCTCGTTGCGCTGCGCCGTATCAAGAACGGCATAGGTGCGCGAGAGGAAAAAAATGAGAAAACTATAAATATTCCACGAGAGAGAGAGAGAGGGGGGAGGGAAGGAGAGAGAGAGAGAGAGAGAGAGAGAGAGAGAGAGAGAGAGAGAGAGAGAGA